AGCTTTCTTCGTATAAAATCCCACTTCTAGAATCATTGAAAAGAGAAACATATAATAACTCCATTATTTGAGGGTAAAAAAAACTTCATTTATTTGTTGAAAAAAATTTAAGGTAGCAGGCAACACAAATATTTTCATTATTAATTATTTGAATTTATAGGTACAATGATAGTGATATGGTCTACTATTTAATATTTTAGATCCAATTATAGTAATAAAAATTACTGACCACAAAAGGTGGCATGCTATTTACAATTTTTAAATGATTGTGGGTTTGTCAATCACCCTCTGGAATATTAAGTAACTTGCCTTTAAGAAATTAATGTTACAATTATATTTGACATTGCTAAGAAATTAATCCACTTGTTTTAAATATTATTCTAGTACCAAAAGACGTCAAATATAGTCATGCTAACTTCCACTTCTTATTAGGAGCCAAAAGAAGACATTGCTGGCTGTCAGGTGCCTTATGATTCTTCCTATATATAACTGAAATATTGGAATGGTATTGGTGATGGAAAATTGTTTTCCATTTTAGAATATTCTTACAAGAAATGCAAAAGAATGGACCTTCATTGTATCCTAACGTTAATTTAATAATAAATTAATACTCTGTATAAATATAGATGTATAAATGTTAAATCATTTAGTAATCTGCGTCTTGAGGGGTGCCAGCTGGGCCAAATTTACTGTCAACTTTATTTTACATAAAAATATAACATTTAGTGGGACAATACATGACCCAAATAAGTTTCTTTTTTCCTAAGTTTTTTCAAAATGAAGCTATAGTTGTTTGATGAAACGTGTTTAAAACTCTGCTTAGAAGTTATATTCTATTGAAGATGTATCGGCCTTAATGCTTGCTGAGGAAGTTTTTATATATTCCCTAAATGGATACAATGGGCTATAAAAGAAGTAAATGCAATCTCTAATTTCCACATAAATACTGAAAAAATGGTGGTTTGGAAATTAGGTTCAGAGATGAATCTTTAAACGGCAATTTTCCTCTCAACTATAGGTGGAATTTTAGGTATCTGAAATGAAAATGCTATGAAAGCAATAAATTAAACTGAAAATAACAAGATAAAAGACTTTTGAAATTTAAATTTTTGAGGACTTCTCATGTTATACGTTTCCCAAAACTTCTTTCTATTTGTCAAAGCAAAATAGACAGAAACTCGCTGTAATCACCCCCTTTCTCTGTAAGACTTCCCTGACGGAAGCAACAAGTTTTGACTACACTTAAACCCACTGCCAGACTAACTAGAAGAAAGGAGTAAATTACAACTCCTTCCTTCTATTTTTAGACTGAGAACGCTTTAATGATTTCATAATCCCAGCACCTAAACAGAACTTGACGTACAGTTTGCTGAATGAAGGAAACAGAAGGTGCCTGTGGGATTTAAAAATATGTACTGGCCAGGTGCAGTGCCGCATGCCTGCAATCCCGGCACTCCGGGAGGCTGAGGTGGGCAGATCACTTGAGGTCAGGAGTGGAGGACCAGCCTGGCCAACCTGAAACCTGTCTCTAATACGTAAAAAATACAAAGAATAGTCAGGCGTGGTGGTGCACACCTGTAATCCCAGCTACTCTGGAGGCTGAGGCAGGAGAATCACTTGAACCTGAGAAGGGGAGGTTGCAGTGAGCTGAGAGCACACCACTGCACTTCCCGCCTGGGTGACAGAGCATGACTCTGTCTCAACGCATTCGTATATACGTACAAACGTAAGTATTGTATAATATCTTTCTTCAAGAGGTTACTAAATGATTATGAGGGAGAGAAGCATAAAAATAGCTCTGTGTCCCCATTGTATGAGAAACAAATGTGGCGACCATCATGCTGTTTCACTTGGAGGTTTAGTATTTAACCCTACCTAATTTATTCATTCATTCAAAAATGTGAGGAATAAAAAATTACTACGATGCACACAGTTCATGCCTTCAAACTGGTCTCACAGTGTCTCATGAGTCTTTCGAGATTCAGATGCTTGACCCTTGATGATCTTTCAGCTTCCCTTTGCAAGTTTAGCCAAACATAAATCAGTATGAAGCAAAATAAAAATTCTACTACAATATTCAAATCACATGTCGTCGGCGTTCACACTGCTTACAGTTCTTTTATTATTTTTGACATAATAATTGTACATATTTATAGGGTACAGTGTAGTGTGTTACACAGTTGTACTTCATTTTTTTTCTAAATGACACAAATGAAAGAATTGAGATAGGCTTGTCTCATTTTTAACAAGCTATTCTATAATTATGTTCTATCTGTCGCAGTTTCTGTTCCTGGTTCAACTCATGGAAATGAGAGCACTCCCTGAAGAACCTCTCCACAAAAATTTTCTTCCTCAAAAGTTTTCAGTGAAGCAACGCAGAAGGAGAATAAGGGACAGTTGAGAACGGGACTTTTTTTTTTTTTTTTTTTTTTTGAGTCTCTCTCTGTTGCCAAGGCTGGACTGCAATAGCATGATCTCTGCTCACTGCAACCCCCACCTCCCGGGTTCAAGTGATTGATTCTTCCACCTCAGCCTCCCAAGTAGCTGGGATTACAGGTGGGAGCCACCATGCCTAGCTAATTTTTCTATTTTTAGTAGAGACAGAGTCTCACCGTGTTGGCCAGGCTAGTCTCACACTCCTGACCTCCCGAAGTGCTGTGATTACAGGCATGAGCCACCGCACCCAGAGAACAGGATATTTTTTAAAGTAACAGGAAGAAAGGAGAGAAGGAAGAAAAGGAGGAAGGAAGAAGTCCAGTTTCTATGTAGTCAAGGGCCATGCTACAGAATTTCACTGAACGTGAAGCGGTATATGAGGAGATACATTCCTTCGATAAACACCTTCAGAAGATGGGCTGAAGGGGGTCTTCCTAGTCTGCCCGGTAGCATTGAAGGTTCATTTTCATATACTTCCACTGCTTGGATCCCTGCTTACTACTGGCACACTCTGCCCTGTGTTTCTATGTCCATTCCCACAACTGGATGGTAAGCTCCAAGTCACATCTCACCCAGCTTCTTTCCACAGTCCCTAGCCCTCTGCAAGGTCAAATAAAAAGCACCTCCTTATAAGGAAAAAAAACAAAAGTAAAGTGGAAAGGAGAATAATTGAGCAGGATTTCAGTTCCACATTGCTAGTCTTAATAATTGTTTAAGTCTTCTGTACATGTGTTCGATAAAGTATTATTTGATTGATATAAAAAACAAAGATTTGGGAGATAGGAAATGACACAGTGACGTGTTTATAAAAATTCAAGAGTTAGTTTTCATGGTAGCACTACAACAATAGCTAAAATTTTTCATTTTCTAAGACCTGTATTCAATTTCATATCCCACAAAGATCATATGTTCATACACTATTTTATCCCTCATTATATAGCAAACTGAAATGTGTATCTTTATTTATGAAGTGCTTAAGCAACGCTCAGCCACACTTTTGAAAGTGTCAAACAATGTAACTCTTCAAATGTCTGAGGTTTATAAAAACTAAATTATGCTATGTCAAGCTATTTCTAAGCTTAGTCTTGATATTAAATGCCAAGATTGAGAAGAAAATGCTTGTTTCTGATTTATTATTTGTCTCTTTCCCGCCCTCTCAATCTACACTTATAGGCATACATATACAAACACACTCATATACATGTACTTTAAAAATTATTTCATATTTCAGCGCAAAAGCCCTCATTTTAAAAACTTTAACACTATAAAAAATAAAATTTCTGAAACTTTAAAAACTAGTGAGGAAGATTACCTATACTTCTAATACCATAAGATTTTAATAATAATGATAAATTTTTATTCACTGTTATCAGACATTTTAGAACTTTAAGATAACATGTTCGGACATGAATAAAATTTCCCCCAAAATAGTATTTTTGTGTTTTTAATATAAAACTTATACAACAAACCTGCACGTTCTGCACGTGTACCCCAGAACTTAAAGTACAATTTTTTTTAAAAGTTACACAGTTAAAATCATATAAAATTAATTGACACAATAAAAACAATATGCACAGAAGTAAGTCAAGTTTAGCCAAATATAAATCCATTTGAAACAAAATAAAAATTATACTACAATATTCAAATCAAAAAATCAAATACATTAATATACATTCAATTTGAGAAATAATTTATTTGGTTTTATATTTCCTTTGGCCTCTAGTCCTTTATTCTGAATCTAACCGCTTCTGAAGCAGTCTCCGCATTAAAGAAACGTGTTTCAGAGCCTAACAGGGCAACACGCAAATGGACTGCTACTGTAGAAAGCTACTTCGCAGAAAATTTAAACCACGATGTGCTTCAAATGCCAAGACCTCAAAAGTTAAAACTGTGGTTCTCCCCAGGAGGCGGAGGTTGCAGTGAGCCAAGATCACGCCATTGCACTCCAGCCTGAGTAACAAGAGCGAAACTCCATCTCAAAAAAAAAAAAAAAAAAAAAACTGCGGTTCTCCACTCATTTTCTCATTTCATGAGCATTTAGATCAAAAAGCTTTTACTGAAAGCTTACTGACAACAAATCTTCTGGAGTCTAAGAATGAATGAAAGTCAAATGCCAAGTCCACGGTGCTTTCCCAATATAAAAATTGTTTTTATATTGGCTTCTTTTTGTAAAAGATTTATTTTTGTAAAAGACTTCTTTTTGTAAAATGTAATGTTTATCTTTGAAATGTAATAACATTTTTCTATTATTTCATAATGTCTTTCTAATCTCTAAAAATAATCCTTAAATAAAATCAAGTATAATATTGACTTCTGCATTTTTTCAATGTGGCTGTATATAAATCAACTGAATTCTCAATATTTGCTGTTTTTGTTTTTAATTAGCCAAGGATCTTTCTTTTGTATTTATTTCTTCTTTAACTTACTTTACCTTTGAAACGGAACAAGTCTGATAGAATTAAAATGTTGATTTTTGTCTACTTTATATTTCGCTCTCTAGAATACATTAAATGCTTGGTCTTTTGCCGTAAGATAGAAAAAGCTTGTTTAAAATGAGATCTTACCTTCTGATTTGTTGTTCTTCCTCTTCAGCCATTTCTCTACTGTCTCTGCACTAACATTTTCAGATACAAATTCATCTAATACCTGAGGGTGAAGAGAAAGATATGCCTTCACTTTTTCATCGGTCAAGCCTGTAAAAGAATTGAAAAGAATAAAATTCACCTATACGACATCTTCATATAGATGAAAGTCATAGTATAACAACACGTTATGCTAAGACCCAGCAACCCCTAATCTAATGGAGAGAGGGTGGGAAAGAGTGGGAAGGGGAGGTTACTGCTTAATGGGTAGAGTTTCTATTGGGAATCACAGCAAAGTTTCGGAACCAGACAGGTGAATATTGCCCAACATTATGAATATACGTAATGCCATTGAACTGTATGCTTAAAACATCATTAAAATGATTAAAAAAGCATTTTTCGTGTGTGTGTGACCATAATAAAAAAGTTTAGCAACTTTAAACTACAGATATTACATCATGTTACATAGCTGTTTTCTAACAATAAACTTCAGAGTTACATACAAATCAATGCCATGATCAAATGCTGTACATTAAGACCTACAGAGTATTTAATTTTTCGGTGTATAGTTACCATAGATTTAGTGGTCAAAGCAGAGGAAACTCTAGCAAGAGCAATAAACAGGAAAATGTAGCACTAGAACATTATAGGTGCTAAAATAATGTTTAATAAATAAATTCTTATCTTTTATTGCCTTACAACACAAATCCCTACTTTTTCTCAAAGGCATTAAACTCAGTGGCATAACTAATGTTCAGTTCTGAATAATCTTAACATTTGTCCATTAATATTCTGTGTATGTAGTTGGCTTCACTGAAATGGTTTTCATAGTCTAATGATAAATACTGAATTTACATAAGATTTTCAAACAAAGTACTTTCACATGCTTTCATATCTCACATATAAAGTATATGTTTTCAATTTGGTGCTTTGTGTTGGTATGCCATTTCACTAACCCAAAAACAAACAGGCTTTGAATAATTATCCTTCCATGATGGTAATTATTTTTACTACTATATATTTTCTATGAATTATTTGAATAAATTACCCTTTTTGGACATTGTTAGGTTTTAAAAAAAGGCAATGAAAAATTGCAGTCTGAGAAAGAAAAGAAGGAAGCATATATTTATGACTCCAGAAAGAAAGCTGTATGTTTTCCCAAACAGACAAAGCAGAGAATTCATATGTTTTAATTAATTCTGCTGGGAACTGAAGTCACAACTGTTAGAATTCTGCAGCAGAATGCTATAACTGAAAAGGAAAATGACTTCTTTCAGTGAAATTTGTACTTAAATAGTCAATTTAAACACACACACACACACACACACACACACACACACACACACACAGAGTTGTAGAAGATAAATGAAAATGAGACCTCTGGCTATATTCACCCTGCAGAAGAGCCCCAGTGGTGTAAAATTCAGTGTAAGAAATTCTATAAAATGCTAAAGATAATTGATTCAATAAAGTAAGTGTTCTCCTGAGACAGCAAATTATAGTCCCTAGAAAGAAAAGGTGCAGGATACTATAGTAAACTGACAGCATACTTGACCTTTGAGAAGACAGATAAAGCAAATTTCATGTTCTATGTCCTCCATATTCAATACTTGATTGCTTCTTAATATTTTCTTCTATCATTTCCATGACACGGCCATAGAATTCTTGTCCTAACTTTCTAATTGCCCTTGAATTCTGCTTTCTCTTCAATAATCGATAATGATGACACCAAAATCAAGTATCTTAACATATTTTTAATCTCCAGTCTAGCTGTTTTCCCATCACCTCAAGCACCATCTTAAGTCAAAACTACATGAGTTGTCTCCTTCATATTTCTTCCCAAAGAGATTTTAATTCTTGATTTTCCATTTTGTGTTACCATTATTCTCCATTTTCTCAGAAACTTAGGCTGAAAAATATAGTAATAACTGACTCATTCCTCCTAGTCATCTCATTTCATCTTAGCGCATTACCGTACAAGTCATATTTGCCAAATTACATATCAAAGACGTGCATCCAAAACAAACAAAGAAACTCTTTAAACTCAACAATAAGAAAATAATCAACCCAACTGAAAAATGAGCCCAAAGATTTGAACAGTCACTTCAGTAAAGAAGATATAGATACGGCAATAAATATTTTAAAAGATGATCATTTGTTAATCTGGAACTAAAGTTAAAAAAAATGAGATTCTACTACACACCTATTAGAATGGCTAAAATTTAAAAAAAAAATTGACAGTGCCAATTGTTAGCATGGATGCAAGGCAACAAAAATTCTCATTTAATCCTGCAAAATGCTACAATGACTTTGAAAGACTGTTTGGCAGTTTCTTACAAAGCTAAATATAGTCTTTCTGTATGACCCAAAAATCACACTAGTAAGCATTTACCCAATGGATATGAAGACTTATGTCCACACAAAAACCTGCATGTGAATGTTTTTGGCAGCTTCACTCATAATCACCCAAATCTGGAAGCAATCAAGATGTCCTTCAATACACAAATGGATAAACAAACTGTGATACATCCATACAACTAAATATTTCGCACTAAGAAGATAGGAGCTAACAAGCCATGAAGTAACATGAACGAGTCTTAAATGTATTTTACGAGAAAAAGAGCCAGTCTAACAAGGATACATATTATGTAATTCTAACTATATAACATTGGAGAAAAGGCATAAGCTGTGGAGGTAGTAAAAGATCAGTGACTGCCAAGAGTTCAAGGGGAAAGGGCAAATTATGACTGGGTAAAGTACAGGGGACCTTTTAGGATGATGAAACTACTCTGTAAGACACTATAATGATGAATATGACACTATGCATTTGCCAAATATCTGTAAGACTTTATAGCACAAAGAATAAACTATCATGTATGTAAATTTTAAAAATCACTTACAAGGTCAGGGGCTCTCAGGATGGAAAGCATAATGCAACAAAAGAATTTAAATGTTTTACACATGCATAAAACAACCTCCTTCAAGGGGGTGGCAGAGGGCAAGGTGTTAACCTGAATAACTTTGAAAATAAGTGGAGTCTGTGAGTGCAAATGCAAAATAAACTGTACATAAGCACCATACTCTAGTTGACAAAGTTGTTATCCCAGGAGGGTACAGTTTAACACTGGCCAATTAAACAAATGGGTGGTAGATGGTGGAAACAAGATTTCTCAATGGTAGAGTGGGGTGTTACAGATTTAAAAAAAGGAAGAGTTCAGAATGATCCACGTGGTAACGAATTCGAGTTGGAGACATTAGTGAACTCATGTATGACAAAACAAGTAAAAGTAGTTACATATAGGAATACTAAAAATAGTTGCATATCAGAATACTGGTAAGATGTGTATATCTAGTTAATAAATACACGTCTCGCTTTGCTGTGTTAGCTGAGAGGGCCCAGAAGCAACAATATCCCAGTGTAATTGCATACATATGGCACCCAGAGCTTGGCTTCTAATATCAGTTGTCTACAATAAAAGGAACCAAGACTCCATGAAGAAACAGCTAAATTTAGGATAAGAACAGAAAATGCATAAGCTTGGAATAGCCTATGATTTAAAATTTGCCATCAGTAAATCACATAGACTAATACAGATAACTATTCCAAGGTAATTGTGTATATTTGGATAAGTGTATTTTAAAATATAACATTCCTGCTAACAAACTACATCCTTTCATCTATGTAACATTTTGTCGCAGTGCAAACAGATAAAACTAATTAAACTGACTTTCATCTTTATTTCATTTTTCAATATCTGGCAGAAGTACTAATAAGCAGGGGCTGGTTAAAAGCAATGAGTGATAGAAGAGAAGCACACAGGTATTGATAGACTAAATGATAAGGGTAAGTTAGGAAAAGCTGATGAATTTCATTAATTTTCACAATGCAATTTGCAAGTGCCCACTGAAAATGTCACAAAAAATTACAATCTAAACAAAACCAAACTGAAAAACAGAGTGATACATGTAGTGGTTAGATTTAACACTGACCTGAAGATACATAACAAATGGCATAATAAAGACTGATAAATATTTTAGTAAAGGTAATTGCTTCTGTGGCTAACAATTCAGCCAGCAACCTGACGTCTGGATAAGAAATAACTTTGTTTTCTTACTGAGTATCTCTTAAAGAAATAGAGAAAAGCCATATCTATAGCTCTACTTCAACATTTTGACATTGAACCATAGAGCAGTAACGAAAAGGATTGGCACCTCTGAGTTTCCATAAATATTAATGCAATATATCAGCAACAAAATAACACCAACAATGATGCATTTTTTATCTTTTTTAAAATATAGTAGTATTGAGGCTACTTTTCTTCTGTCTTTAGGAAATCTTACACACTTCTGATAATGTAACATGTTATTCTGATAATGTAACATGTTATTACGCTACCCTCTTGGTTTTTGCTTTCTGCAAGCCACAAATTCAACTATCTTTTTCAGATGAAGATTCTGTACATGTACGCATATGTATAAATATACATTTAAAACTTTTATCAAACCACACAAAAAATATAACAGCCCTGTGTATTCAACAGCCAGCTTCCAAAATTACGAATTCATAGTCAATATTCTCCATCTCTACCCCCTACTCTCCCCTCATGTAATTTTGAAGCAAATCCCAGAAATTACTTTAATATATTCATACATTTCAACATGTATCTCTAAAAGATAAAACTATTCTAACCACAAATGCTACTATCACACCTAAAGATAAATTATTATTATTATTATTTGGAGACAGAGTCTTACTCTGTTGTCCAGGCTGGAGGGCAGTGGCGCGATCTTGGCTCACTGCAACCTCCACCTCCCGGGTTCAAGCGATTCTCTGCCTCAACCTTCAGAGTAGCTGAGATTACAGGTGCCTGTCACCATGCCCGGCTATTTTTTTGTATTTTTTAATAGAGGTGGGGTTTCACCATCTTAGCCAGGCTGGTCTTGAACTCCTGACCTCGTGATCCACCTGTCTCAGCCTCCCAAAGTACTGGGATTACAGGCATAACTCACCACACCTGGCCCTATTATTTTTAATTCCATCAAAAAATACCCAGGCTCTAAATCTCTATAGTTTATTTGTATTTTTTTACGGGTTGTTGGTCTGAACTAGG